AGAAATTCTGTATAGAGAAAGCCATTTGAAGGCTCTATTTCGTGCAGTCTTATAAGTCCCACCCACCCGCCCATTGCTTAGTTTTTGAATGCTATATTAGATTTATACCTTGTTGAAAATATTTATTTTCTATTTTGTAGAATTCGGACATTGAGTGATGAGGACATTAGAAAAAAGAGATATAATTTGTATTAATTGTGTGAAATAATTAAACTGCACTTTCAGAGCGCTTCATATCCTATTTCACGAGTTTGTGTTTATTTCATAAATGTTTTATGTTCGTTTGAGTGAAACGAATAAGAACATAACTCAAAATAAACAAACAATATACATTTTTTGATCCCAAACATCTTGCAGATACTTGGACCTTTGGTTGAATAAAGCTCATGTAAATAAGTAAAATACCTTTGGAGTTTTGTTCTCACTGTGCGTAGCGACCAGGATGACAGGAGCCTTCTCATTGCTGTATTGGTGAAGAGACTTCATCCAAAACTCAAGGTAATCTAGTGAAAATGAAATAAAATGTAGCAATATACTTATTCATACCATGTAACATCTTCTATTCATTCTCCATTACAATATAAGAGGTCCAAAAGAAAGTAAATATTTTTTCTACCCGTGACCATTTCATTATCATTTCTTACCCGGACTTCCAATATGTAGTTATCCTAGACTTAAATCGACCCAAAAATAATCAGAACAATCCATATCAGTTATTTCTTGCGCACGACATCACAATTTGAATTTATCTTCCATGTTTACTGACATCGATAGATTTTATTTTGGGAAAGCCCATGAGATTAAGGATTTAAAGGGAGTGGATTTCTTCGGAATTACCTTATTGTAAGAATTCTCTTCACAACTCTTCACAAAAAATAACTGATGGAATCATTTCATTGATTCTATCCATCACAATTTTTTATTAAACATCAACATTTACACATTATATACACATGCATTATTGAGTTATTCTTAATTTCAAGCGCAGGTCTCAATACCTCACTCATGAACTGTCATTGCTGCTGAGTTGAGCAAAAGGTAAACACGCAGATTTATTTCACATCGTTTCCGCGTTTAACAGGCTATGTTGTCGACAGTGAATAAAAATTTCATCTTATTAAAAGCAAGTTGAATGTAAAAATAATTATTCTGCCTGCAGTCGCCCGTACTTAAAAAATATTTCTGCACCACTACGGAGATGCTGTGGAATATGGTAATCCTCTACAGAAAAATTCAGATTTAAAATAATGGGAGCTGCGGGCTACATTATTGCAGCTAAATTAGAATATGTTCAATCATGGCTTTACTGCCCTGATATATTTTTCCTATATATTCCTTTGCTATTCTTAAGAAGAAGATTTTTAAAGAATTTTCCTACATATATAAAAGATTTGTAAAGAATTTTCCTTTATATTTCTTTGTAAAACTTTTATCTGCCATTTTGGCCTCATTCTTCCCATGGGGCCATGATTTGAACCAAGTTTAAAACTTCACTACTTAAGGATGCTTCATATAAATAAGATCAATCATGGATTCTTGGAAAGAGATTTTTAAAACATACCACCAAATGTTTACTATTTCTGCATTACATCCCCTTGAATAAAGGCATGGCCCTATTTATGTACAAACTTGAAACCCTTTCACCAATGAATGCATTGTAGCAACTTTGATTGAAAATGGCCCAGCGTTTCTTAAGAAGAAGTCGAGAATGTTAAAAGTTGAAAAACAGCTTAACAGATGGATAAATAAAAATGTGATCAGAAAAGCTGAAGTCTCAAGTGAGCTAAAAATATATGATCTACAAGAATGATCTAAGTTTTTCAGGTCAAATAAATTCATTACAACAAACCTCTATTTGTCCATTCCATATAAATGGAGCCGTTCTGACAGCACACTTCTTCTCCAACCTTATCATCAAACTTCTTCTCCATATTCAGCACCAGAATGAAGAACGCCCGGGGACTCAGAAAAATCTGGTGTGAGGCATAATATGAACATTGCCCCGCAAAGTCAGTCATGGTAATTTTTTTATCGGAATGGTCATCTGACAAGTTTTTGGATTCTATCTGTAAAGATCCAGATAGATTAGAACTGCTAGGCAAAGTTTGACCTTCCTCAATGACCTCCCTGACATTTTCTGGTGACGAGGCTCGTTTTCCTCCATACGATGAGGTAGATGGAATGTTGGAATCATCATGTGATACAGGTAGCTGACCACGATTCGGTGCTTCCAGAGAAACCTCCCCAACATCGACTGTTTGCACTTCATCAGGCATTTCTACATCCTCAGTGACTCCCACATCATGTTCAGAAACGCTCTTTCGTTGTTTGGTTTCATCAAATGTAATTTTAAAGCGTTGCTGTTGCCTTGAAGAGTTCACTGCAAATGAAAACAGTTTTCAGAAATGATTTTGATTGTAAAGTAACAGTTTCCCACATTTCATTAAATAACGTAACGTAATTTCGGCGAAGGCAAAGTTGATGAAGTAAATATACATCACTTCTCTTGTTAAACATGAAATGTAAGTTTTTTTTTATGTTTTATGCTTCAAGAGATGTTAAAAGGTGGAAAACAAGATATTTTACTTTTAAATGTTAACATAATTAACTGTCTGTGTATCTATTCCGATATTGATAAATCTGATGGAATTTTCATGTAAATTTGTATATAAATCTACATATACTTTGATCTTAAAGGTACTTGGACACAGATTTGAAGTTAATAGTTTCTCATTTTTTCTGTATAATATAACGACTTATATATTTTAATAGCATTTCACACAAAAAATTATAAAAATAAAAAATAAAAATCTTTTTTCATTTAAAAGTTATTAACAATTTAAATTTTTTGGCGGGTTTGATTGACACATCCTTGCACTTTCACAAATTTTAACTTTATTCTTAATCCTTAGGAAAAGTGGCAATTTTGATGTGTTTTAATGATAAATATTAAAACTTTTATCAAGAAAAATAATTTTATTCAGAGTAGAAATGATAGAAAGCAAAACACCTTCACAAGTATCGCCATTCCGAACTAAGAGATGCGTACAGATTTTAGCAAATTGAGCACACTCGTGTTTTGTACACAGTTTTTGTAAACAGGGCTCGAGTTCTGTTATTGTTTATATTTAGAATTCATCGGGTGCGTTCAATCGTCACAGTCTGCTTACCACAACTGCACGGACTGACAATATATTGTGTGTTTGTTTTGCTTTCGAACATGTCTACTCTGAATTTTCTGGATTATAGTATTAATATTTTTAGGTCACCTGAGTAACTCAGGTGACCTATTGCTATCCGTTTTCGTCCGTCGTCGTGTGTCGTGCGTCGTGTGTTAACATTTGAACACTTTCAGCTTCTTCTCTGAAACCACTAAACCAATTTCAACCAAATTTGGTATACAGCATCTATGGGTGAAGGGGAAGGAAAATTGTGAATTTCATGGTCCCTGCCCCCCTGGGGCCCTAGGGGTGGGGCAAAAACCACTTAAATTATTGCAATCTTTAAAAATCTTCTTCTTTACTCCTGGACATCAAGCAGGCAAACTGTTGTTATGAATGTAATGAGCATTGAGTCTTCTACTTAAATTGTGAAATTCATGGCCCCAGGGTCAGGGGTTCTAGTGCTAGGGCGGGGCTATATAGATTATATAGTAAAAATGCATGATTTCTTTGAAAATCTTCTTCTCTGCTCCTAGGTATTAGATAAACTAACCAAGCACTTAGTTATGATGAGCAAGAGTGCCTTTTTCAAAATTGTGAATTTTGTGACCCCAGGGTCAGGGGTTCTGGTGTTAGGGCGGGGCTCTATTGATCATATAGTAAAAATGCATAAATTCTTTGAAAATCTTCTTCTCTACTTCTGGGTATTAAATAAACTAACTAAGTACTTAGTTATGATGAGCAAGAGTGCCTCTTCCAAAATTGTGAATTTTGTGGCCCCAGGGTCAGGGGTTCTGGTGTTAGGGTTGGACCCTATTGATTATATAGTTAAAATGCATTTATTCTTTGGAAATCTTCTTCTCTGCTCCTGGGTATTAAATAAACTAACCAAGCACATAGTTATGATGAGCAAGAGTGCCTCTTTCAAAATTGTGAATTTTGTGACCCCAGGGTCAGGGGTTTTGGTGTTAGGGCGGGGCTCTATTGATCATATAGTAAAAATGCATAAATTCTTTGAAAATCTTCTTCTCTACTTCTGGGTATTAAATAAACTATGTAATTAAATAGTTATGTTGATCAAGAGTGCCTCTTTCAAAATTGTGAATTCTATGACCCCAGGGTCAGGGGTTCTGGTGTTAGGGCGGGGCTCTATTGGTTATATAGTGAAAATGCATTTATTCTTTGAAATTCTTTCCTTTGCTTCTGTGTTTATGCCTATGATCCAAATATATATATTCATGATGAAGAAAGGTGACCTGGCAAAATGGTTATATTTTATGCCCCCGGCCCCTTCCCTAGGTCGGGGTGAGGGGTTGGGGGGGGTACAAAGTCTAAAATTAATTAATACTTGGAAATTTGCTCTTTGGTGTTAATCAACCATTTTATGATAAAATTTTCAAAATTTTGAAATATTTGGCCCCAGGATCAGTGGTTCCTTTGGGATGAGGTGTACAACTGGTTATAAAGTGGAAGTGCATTTTCTCTTAATTGTACTCTGATCTACCTCTGGGTATTAAGTAAATAGAGTTAGCATGCTAAGTCTAAATTATTATAAGCAATGGTACCTCTTTCAAAATTGTGAATTGCGAATTCCATGGCCTCTGGTTTATAACATGAACCAAACTTAATGGTTTGAAAGTTGTTGCACAATACTCAGGTGACCTATAAGGCCCGTGGGCCTCTTGTTCATTTATACAAAACTGGATTGCCACTTTTCCTAAGGATTAAGACTAAAATTAAATTTGTGAGAGTGCAAGGATATGTCAATCAAACCCGCCGAAAAATTTAAAATTTCAACATCTTTTAAACGAAATAATATTTTTAATTAATTTTTGTGTGAAATACTATTAAAA